ATCATATGAATCATATGATTCATATCGAATTCATATAATGATGAGTCATAAGTCATAAGTCAACCAAGCAACAGCTCCTTCGCTAAGGCTTCTTGTGTTTGGCGAGAGACGCCTGGTTCCAGCATGCGGCCTGCCTTGAAAGGCCAAGCATTGAAAGGCAGCACTAACCTGGAATACAACTGGCCAACCTGCACCCAAGCTAAGGTTGCTGCGCATTGGAATCTTCTGGCATCCCAGCCTGCAGAACCGGGAAGGCACAGTGGCAGCCAGTGCGAATTGTCTTCACATGACAAAGCAGAAAGCAAAACCTGAATCGTGCTGACAGCAGGCGACGTCGAAGCCTGAGTGAAACTCAGGGTGGTAGCTGCATTTCCTCTGCTGGGGTCGTCACACTCTTCTGCAGAAGCGAAAAAACTGCCCATGATGGACAGGCCTGGAAGCAAAGACAGTAACAGCGCTACCAGTTTGGGCCCTACTTCTGGGGAGGTGGCAAACCGAGCAAACTTCCGAAACCTTGCGGCTTCTTCCTTCTCGAAGTTTTCGAAACCACATCCTGGCTCCTCTGTCTCCTGCTCGAACTGCTCCTCCAGCTCGCCCAGCAACGTTTGCGACGTGTTTGCGTCTGCATCAGGCTGGAGGCAATGGGCGAGCAAACCATGAACTTGCAGGAAGGAAGCAAACCACATCACCGGCGGGGTGAGCTTGGTCCACTTGTTAAGAGCCGGCACTACCGGTGGGGAGTCCAAAAAGACGGTGCACAAGTCCTCAAAGATTTCCTTGATCGCCGCTTCCTTGGAATCGTGGCATCCATACGGACAGTAGTGTCTCACATGCGTCCTGTCATCTAATGGCCCACAAAGGTTTTTGCGCAACCTGCGCCACGCCTNNCGCCTTTCTTTGTCGTGCCGCTGTTCTATCAAAGGCCACAGCAAGTCCCACACTGCGTTGGCATGGCTGACAGCCGAAGAGCTGGGCGGCTCGTAGTCGATGTGGAGCTTCTCGACCAAGCGCTTCAGCTTGGCACGCAACATTTTCTGCAAGCGAGACCTCCGTAGCAACAGCGCGCCGCAAAACAAGGATGCCATCAAACCGGATTGAGCAATGCTCGCTGTCATTGATAGGCACAGCTGGTGCATGCGGCACGGACAGCTCAGGCAGGCATGACTTGTTCGCAAGCACTTCGCCAACTTTAGGCAGCTGCCGAAACTATCAGTATTCAGCAAGAATGTGGTTCTATCAGCGACGGCTTTGAGTTGCTCCAAAGCTACGGGCAGGCGTGCCAACAAGCCACCAAGGATGTCGGCAGTGGTGGTGCCTGGCAGCACCACGGTGGGCAACACGACTCTGAACACATGAAGTTTTGCGCCCTTGGCTGACAGCCGAAAAAACTTCATATGAAGCACCATGACTTGTGCCGTTGCTACGGTCGTCTGCATGGACACCGGCTCCTGCGTTTCGTCAAGAGCAATCTCTACCCACTGCTCCTCAACACGCGGCAACATACGGAGTTCATGCTCCTGAAAACGCATGAACAGTTCCGACATCGCATGCCGGACCCGGGCCACATGTGTGGTGCTAGACTGGTTCTGCCGGGCCGTTTCGCGAATCGAAGCAACGGCCACGGCAGGAGGAGCTCGCTTCTGGCTGGCAGCCGANNCAACCTTGTTGGCGGCAGGCGTTTCTTCCTTGCTCGGCGCTCTGGCTTTATGCCCCAGCAGATTCGGAGAAGAGCTGCGGGCAACCACTTCTTGTAGTTACCTCTTCCCTTCTGAACTGGCCGCTTGCGCTCGTCGAGATTGATGAGCTCTTCTGCCGTTTTGGCATGCCGCCCATTGTATCGCTCGACCAAGCTGCGGACTCGCAAAGACACCTGATGCTTCTGCTGTTTGGCAAGTTTCAGACTGCGTGCTAGTCTCGCAAATTTGGCCGACACCGGCCCTCGATGAGCTGGGGTGTCTGTGCACTTTCTAACTTGCTTGACAATCGCATTGAGTGCCTCCCAATCCTCATCCGACATCTCTTATGGTCAGCTTCTGGCTGTCAGCCGAAATTTCACAACAAACAGCCGTTTCCACATGGCTTGGCTCAGAACGAACCCCTGCTCGAGCCAGCTTTCGGTTCAAAAAACAAATCTCACGAAACGGTTGCCCTGCTGTCGCTTCCACAAGCATGCGCTGAATGTCACACATTTGCCACACTGCACTCATTAATTCGTTAGTTTCCATGATTTTCATCGTCATGATTTGCCGGAGATTCCGTTCCATGAATTTCGCGAATTTCATGATTTGGCGGAAATTCCGGAAAGATTTCATGAATTTCATGAGTTGGCTGAAATTCCGGAATTTCAGGTTCCATGAATTTCATGATTTTGCCGGAAATTCCGGAAATTCGGGTTCCATGAATTTCATGAATTTCATGATTTTGTCGGAAATTCCGGAAATTCGGGTTCCATGAATTTCATGATTTTGTCGGAAATTCCGGAAATTCGGGCTTCATGAATTTCATGATTTGGCGGAAATTCCTGAAATTCGAATTTCTGAATTACAGCAGCTTTGCAGTTTTTACTGAAATTACGGATATTCGAACATCTGAATATTCGCTGCCTGAATTTCCGGGGAGGCAATTGTAAGTTTT